AATGCACATGTCTGCGAGGTACATCTTTTGGGATATGACCAATACCGTGCAATGTTTTCAACAGGGAGAGGGAAGCTCAAGGACCAGGACCTGCCTCCTGCTGGGATTCACCCTTTCGCAGCTTCGGGGCATGCTGACAAAGCTGCCGTAAAGTGGCCATGAAGACAAGGGTGATGTCATGAACTAGCCACTGTGATGCAAGCAATTTTTAGCAGAACCATTTAGCTTTCGTAAGTCACCAAGTAGCAGGCCCAATGACATTCTCATACTATCCCTGATCTCACTCTAATGCCAAGCTACACGCTCTGGGAAGGGGACTGGCTGGCGTGGCAGGAACCAAGGTCCTATCAGTTGGCAGGTTTACAGAAACAAACCCTCTGTGGCCACCACATCCACACATTCCCTAGTCAAACCACACTGCTGCCTCGGAGGCCAACCCCACTTGGTCCAGAGGAAATTCGTGGGGCACCTTCGACCATCCGATATATTTTGCAATCTCTGGGTGTTAGAAAATGAGATGATCTTGTTTCCAGCTATAATGATGACAGAGAAAGAAACCATGTCCTTGTACATCTTTTTGACAAGTCTTAGAAACCAGGACAGCTAATACTTAGGATTTTTAGTAAAAGTGGGTTGGCAGTGACTAGGTAGCAAAACCTAGATAGGTGATACTGACACATGGGCTGAGGTGGACTTTGAGACAAGCATTTCTCTTAGTCTCCAACACTGACAGCAGCTGCCCATGAAAGGCAAGTAACCCGACAGATAGGCACGACAAAGTTAAGTGGGCCCACTTCCTTTCTAACCCCACCTTGTGTCTATTACAAGCTGACTGGTCTGCTGTGCGGCCACACTGGTTGTTTGTTGTTTGTGTTTCTTTGTTTGTTTCAGTCTCTTTTAGCTAGAGCAGTGGCTCTCAACCTTCCTAATTCTGCGACCCTTTAATACAGTTCCTCGTGTTGTGGTGACCCCCTAACCATAACATTATTTTCATTGCTATTTCATCACTGTCATTTTGCTACTGTGATGAATTGGTCGACCCATGTGAAAGGG